CATTATAACTTAATATTCATAAATATTTCAACATATCGTATTTCAATCAATCATACATCGTCATCACGTCATAATTCTCAATCACACCAATCATCACAAATCTTGCACTTCACACTATGCCAAGGTCACGCTACCCATTTAACAATCTCGGGCCGTGCTCACCCCTGATATAACACTGTGCCAAGGTCACGTTATCCCTATCCTAGGGCCGTGCTCACCCCTGACATGTTAACCAAGGTCACGATACCCACGTAACAATCCAGGGCCGTGCTCACCCCTGATATAACACTGTGCCAAGGTCACGTTACCCCTAACCTAGGGCCGTGCTCACCCCTGACATGTTAACCAAGGTCACGATACTCATGTAACAATCTCGGGCCGTGCTCACCCCTGGTCATAGGTGTGAAGAACCACAACCACATCTCATTCACATTCCACACAACATCTCATAATTCAATTTCATACATATATCAGATATGTCCAAAATAATGGGTTTCACACGTATCAAGTAATTCACATTTAAATCATCAATTTTTATCAAATAATATAACAATGATATTCATAAATTAATATAATAAACAACGGAATTACCAATTTAATATAATTTCAACATAAACAGTAAAACCCCTAATTGTTCCAAAACCTAGCTCACAGGCACTTTTCTACAATTTCGTTCTCTCTCCCAGATCATCATTCTTACGATTTAAATATATATTTCTAATCCTCAACACATACGGAATCTAATGGTATAATTAATTCCTCAAACAGAAATAATCCAATTTTTCCAAAACCTAACCTACAGGCACTTTTCTATAATTTCGTTCTCTCTCCTAGAGCATCATTTTTACAAACAAATTATATATTTATTGTCCTAAATATATACAGAATCAAATAATGCCAATAATTCTTCAAACAGAAATAATTGTAAAATTACTCATAATCCTAAGGGCTCTTCTTCTACCCAATTCCCTCATGCAACTCCACATATAAATAATCCCCTTTTCCCCCGTACCTGGATATGTAGAAGCTGAATCTACACTAGATCTGGTTGGTCTCCCTCGTTGGGTTCCCCTCGGTCTGAAGCAGAAAGTAGAGGAAAGAAGAGAGAGAGCAGAAGAAAAGAAATCAGAAATGAGAGGTGTGCTTTTTGGGAGTGGCAAACAGCTCTATTTATAGGCTTTTTACGCCGGAACGGCCCGTTCCAAATCCGGAACGGCCCGTTCCGGACCATTAAAACATGGCTAAAAATCACATCCAGAACGGCCCGTTCCAAAACCGGAACGGCCCGTTCTGGTGTGCATTAATTACCCACAACGGTCACGCCCCGTTCCAAGCCCGTTCCCAATTAGGGTTAATGGCATATTTAATAGTCCGGAACGGCTCGTTTCATCTTGAGAACGGCCCGTTCTGGGCTATTAACTCACACACAACTTGGTAGTTTGGAAGGGCCCGTTCCAATTCCGGAACGGCCCGTTCCGAGCTACTAAATCACATGCTTTTTGGTAGTTTGGAACGGCCCGTTCCAATTCTGGAATAGCCCGTTCCAAGCTACTAAATCACCCCTATCACCTTTATAAAATTACCAAAATACCCTTAAAAAAATAATATTGAAATAGAAAAATGGGGTGTTACAAATAGAACTTTAGGCACTTTGCTTAGGATTGTTTTAAAGAAAAATATTAATATAGATTAAAACAAAAGTGTTTAAACGGAAATCTCAACAGGTACCTAATTTTCTAGAATTTGTTTGTTTACCCTTAATACATTCAACGCAAACCTCAAAGTCTGACAAGTTAAAGGGTTCAAGAATCTCATCCGACACAAGCATCTGAATTCTCTGTTTAGAGATATGGCCTAAACGCATTAGGATTGTTTTAAAGAAAAATATTAAATTTTGGGAAGAACATTTGCCTCATGTAGAGTTTGCATATAATAGGGTTGTCCATAGCATAATTAAATGTTCACCATTTGAAATTGTGTATGGATTTAATCCTCTAACACCACTTGACTTGTTACATATGCCTAACATTTCTGAATTTAAACATAAAGATGCACAGGCTAAGGCTGATTATGTGAAGAAGTTGCATGAGCAAGTGAAAGCTCAAACTGAAAAGAAAATTGAGAGTTATGCCAAGCAAGCCAACAAGGGCAGAAAGAAAGTTATTTTTGAACCTGGTGATTGGGTTTGGGTACATATGAGAAAAGAGAGGTTCCTTGAACAAACGAAGTCCAAACTTCAACCTAGAAGAGATGGACTTTTCCAAGTCCTAGAAAAGATCAATGATAATGCTTACAAGATCGATCTACCAGGTGAGTATGGTGTAAGTTCTTCTTTTAATGTTGCTGATTTGACTCATTTTGATGCAGGAGATGAATTCATAGCTTTGAGGACAAATGCTGCCCAAGAAGGAGAGAATGATGTGGACATAAAAGCCCAAACTCAAGAGGCCCATGACCAGAAGGCCCAAGTCCACGACGAAGAGGACAAAGATCAAGATCCAATTCAAATCTTAAGTGGGCCTATGACTAGAGGGATGCTTAAAAAAACCCAAGAGGCATTGCAGCACAAAGTGGCCCATTTACTAGAGACCCAACAATCGACTCAACACATGGAGGAGGCTAGACTTATTACATGCATAGCTTGCTTGGGAAGCTAGGAGGCCAACTGGAAGATTTCGTTTTTATTTTATTATTATTATCTTTTTATGTCTTAAGTTTTAAAGTTGTGTTAGTTTTGTTTTGTAAAAGGCAGTATTAAAAATAAAAATAATAAACTACTACATTTCAGGATTTGAACCCAAGACCTTAAGCTTATAATGCCTTCATCAAACCACTTGGGCATATTAGCTTCTGTTGGGATATTAATATTTTAATTTTCTTTATTTACTTCCAAATGAGGCAAACTCAAACAAAAGTTGTATTAAACATTTTGAGAATTGAGAAAAGGACAGATTATTCAGATTACAAATTTTTGTGAGTTTTAGCTCTGCTAGGGTTTTTCCTTGCATCATTTGATCTTATCAAGAATTCTCCAATTCTTGTGGCGATCTTTCTTGGCTTATCAAATAATCATATTTGTGGCGCCTTCCTTATAATCGATTAAT